CATGCGTGGCCCTTGCAAGGCACCAGGGAGGACACGAGAGAAGAAGATGGAGATTCCTCAGGCCCTGTTTGCACTCTTGGCTGCGGAACACAAGAGATGTGAGCTCATTTGGCTTGAAGCTCTTGTAGCAGCTTCAGAGGCAGGATGTCAGACACTGACTTAAAAAGACATTCCAGGTCAGCCACCATTTGTTTGGAATGACAACCTCCAGCCCAGCTCTGCTAAAGGTCACTACCTTAGGGCAAGGCTTTTCTGACCATAGATGCAAAGACCTGGCCTGCTGTCCAGGGCTGGACACTGATGCAATCTGAATGGAAGCCAAGAGGGAGGCAAAGAAAGCAAAATCTGTATAATGCCAGTGGCTTTATCCATCACCCAGGTCAGGGGGTCCCTAAATCTGGGCTGTACACAACTGAGGGCATGGGAAATGATCATTTCAGGTAGCACATAGATACATTTTAAATTTTAGTGGCCTTGCATTTGCTTCAATATATATAAAAACATAACTGGCACATCAAAGTATGTATGATTTCACATATATAGGTATTTTCCAGGATGAGCCTACATTAAGTTTTTAGGGTAAGAAGTGACTTCAAGTGTGTACCTATAGTCCCAAGCTACTCAGGAGGCTGAGGCGAGGGGATCACTTGAGCCTAGGAATTTGACAAGACCAGCTGGGGCAACATAGTGAGACCCCATCCCTCCAAAAAAAAAATTAAAAATAAAAAAGCAACTTTATTTAAAGAGCAATACTAAGTAATTAATGGTGCAGTTATTATTCAAATATGACAACAATTACCAATGAGATATGCAAATGATTGAAGTCTGGAAACATTGATGTAGTCCATTTTGTAGAATCTTTTTTTACCAGCCTAGGAAAATATGTTTTATAATGCCTGCCAACCCATACACACATACAGCTGTAACAAAGATGAGTTTGTGAAACAATAGTTACTCCTATTTGTGTGATGTACTCTGGACTCCCCCTGCCCTTCCTCCTCACATTTAATTGTCTCTTCCTGTCAGTTCTGCTTCTATAGGCTCCTTATGTCACCCCCTTTCCCAGTCCTGTGCCCCCTTCACCTTTCAACTGGACTTTGTTCTAACTCATCTTCTCATTCCCAATCCAATGTGTCTTCAATCCACCCTCCACACTACTGCCAAAAAGATTTTTCCAAAACTCTGGTCTGACCCTGTCATGCCCCAGTGCACTGGGTAAGATCCAAACTACTCAGTAAGACTTTAGAAGAATTTGGTTGCTGGTCTTTGCTGACCTTCCCAAACTCAGCCACTGACAGAATCAGGACTAGAAACCCAGATTTCTTGATCGTCCAGTCTAGATCTCTTCTTAGTGCCTCCAAGAATCTCTCCCTGTTGTTTTCATTCCACAGGTGGTACCTGCATAGGTGACTCCTGCCTCTCTGACATGGAGCGTTTTGAGTAAACTCTGTTCTGAGATAAACAGAATGTCACAAAGTAGACACACTAGTGTCTAGCAGGCACTTTAGCCAGGGTAACAGGGTGACACTCTGTCTCAAAAAAAAAAAAGAAAGAAAGAAAGAAAGAAAAAGAATGGCCAAAGCGAGCATGGTAGCACATACCTGTAGTCCTAGCTATTTGGGAGGGTGAGGTGGACCGCAGTGCGCTATGATAGCGCACATGAATAGCCACTGCACTCCAGCCTAGGCAACATAGCGAGATGTGTCTCTCAAAAACTACATAAATAGGCCAAGTATGGTGGCTCACACCTGTAGTCCTAGCACTTGGGAAGCCAACATGGGAGGATTGCTTGAGGCCAGGAATTTGAGACCAGCCTGAGCAAGAGCAAGACCCTGTCTCTATTAAAAGTAGAAAAATTAGCCAGGCATGGTGGTGTGTGCCTATAGTCCCAGCTACTCAGGAGGCTGAGGCAGGAGGATCGCTAGAGCCCAGGAGTTTGAAGCTGGAGTGAGCTATGATGACACCATTGCACTCTAGCCCAGGCAACAGAGTGAGACCTTGTCTTTAAATAAATAAATGAATAAATAAAATGGTCTGCCAAGTGTGGAAGAAGTAAGAGGTGGCTTCCAGAAGAAATGATTCTTAACCTGAGCTCTGAGGGATGGTGAGTAGGAATTAGGAGAAAAGGACAGAGGCAGGTATAGCCAATAGAGACAATAGCATGTGCAGAACTCAGCAGCCAGGGGAAGAATTTCAGAACACATATCCAATGCTATGAGCCCAAACCCTCATGATGCTGTTGGCTGCCTCTCCAAGAGGCCGTTCCCCTCTCCCTCCCTCCTTGCTGGCAGAAACCTCCTCCCAAGAGACAGGCTGTGAATGGCACATACTAGCTCCTCAACTTCCTTCAACCAGGGCTTGGGCATGTGACCTAATGCCGGCCAGGGGAACTGACATAGATCCTGTCCTCGGCCAAAGTCTAGTGAGGCTTCGGAACCTTCTCCTAGTCCCATCTGCACTTCCTTGTAAAATCCAGTTGTAGCAAAGAACCCTGCTCAGTCAATTTCACAAGAACCCCCCACCCTCCATATCTGATCATCCTTAATATCTGATCAGGTTAACATCCTCCATCATCCCCCAGCTGATATCTGACCACCCTGGCCTGCCTTCAGCAAGAATCCTGCCAGGTCCGTTTAGCCAGCACCCCTTCTTACCCCTGATGCTTTCCCTTTGTAATTTTCCACCCACTGATCCCTTCCCTCCACCTTGCTCCTTGGCTATGAATTCCCACTTGTCCATACTGTATTCAGAGTTGAGCCCAATCTCTCTCCCCGACTGAAAAATCCCATTGCAGTGGTCCCTATACCCATCTTCATGGTCGTGAATAAAGTCTTCCTTACCATGTTTTAACAGGTATCAAATAATTTTTGCTTTAACAGACCCAAGGGCAAATGCATTTGAAAGGTTTTCCTCCTTCATAAAAAGGTGCAAGGGAGAAAACACAGCTTTCTTTGGCTCGATAGAGTCATGTCTGTATGTGATGCATGGGACTGAGGCAGCTACTTTGTGACCACGAGGCAACCTAAGGACAAGTCCAATAGGCTAAGGATGGTGAAAAGAAAAGAATCCTTCATGACAATATTGACCACCCAAAACAGCTCTGGAAGCACCTATCTTTGTTTTTTTTCCTATGTGAGATAATATCCTTATTTTTAAGTGACTTCTAGTTGGGTCTTTTGTTACTTGTAGCTAAAAAACTTTTTCATCAATACAGCCCTTCAATAGCTTCCCATTATCTTTAGAATAAAGATGGAAAATTATTTTGTGGCCCTAACTAGACTCCTTTGGAGTTATGCATTCTCTCTCTTTTTTAAGGAGATGGGGGGGGGTGTCTCACTATGTTGCCCAGGCTGGACTCGAGCTCCCAGGTGCTCCAGCACCACTCACCGTTTGATGCTCCCTCCTACCACAAGAAAGCTTTCATGTATTCCTCCTACTCCTCCACCACCAGCTCCTCCTTCCTTCCTCCACCTAACTTCTCCTTTAGCCCTTTAGCTCAATTATTCCTTCCTCAGCAGATACGTCTGTGCTGCAACCTTTGAAAGTAAATTACAGCATGATAAGACTGGGACTATGCAGGATGGAATAGGGCACATTGGTGGCAGTTGGTGTGGACACATTGTGAAACAGCGAGTCTCTGTGACAGGGCCAGGTTACATGAGGGGCACAGAAAACAGCAAAACACTCAAATCACCAAGATCAAATTTTTAAAGTTGTCATGGAAGTTGGGTTCAATTGGAATTTTTTTTTAAAAATGGGATATTTCTTACAAATTTGAATATATGGACTAAAATGTGTACCTGCTACATAGTTTTACTCTTACTTGGGGATTCTTTGATTAATGTCTCCTGTCCCAGCTGAACTCCCAACCAAACACCCTGCTTCATGAGGCAGGGACTGAGGCGGCTGTGCTCACCATCGTGTGCTCAGTACCTGGTACAGGCCGGCACATAGTATATCTGTTATATGTTAACAGCTGAATGAATGAACAAAGGAGTCTAAATTTAATCTGGCTTAATTGGAGCAAGAGGAGCTGGGCTTTGAGAGAGAGGCTACCGAGGTAATCCTTGTTAAAGAAGTTAAACTACTTTGAGGACAATGAGAAGTCATATTAGAGTTGTAAATTGGGAAATGTGCATTTGAAATATGTGACTACCTCTTTTTAGACTTTTTGCTTTGCAAGTTGGATCTCCAGTCAGTACTGGTGCCAGGATCCACACTTGACCATTGAATCCTCTAATTTCCACCCATGACCCTGAGATTCTCTGTGAGAAAGGAAGGGAAAAGGCAAAAGCTGGCAAACATCACTTCAGGGCATTGCTAATTATCAACCCATTACCACTAACATGAAAAGCAGAGTGGCAGTTAGATACTCGCAGCCCTCCATTTGCTGCCCTAAATTTTCCATCCTCCTTGCAGTTAGCTGGGGCCATGTGACTAGTTCTGAAAGGAGGGCTGTGAGAAAAGTCGACACATGTCACTTCTGAATTGTTCAATCCTCTAATCACTCTTTCTCTGCTACAGCCACCATGTGCTGGTGGTGCCTCTTGTCAACCATGGCCCCGGAGTGACTGTGTGTGGAGCAGGAGCCCCCGTTAACCTGGTGGGACATTTGGTGTCAATAGAAGCTACCCTTATATTAAGCCACTGAGATTTGGGAGCATCACCTAGCTGCTGATAAATACATAGAACAGACAGAACAAAGTTTTATGTGTGAATCCTACGAAAACAACAATGTAACTATTTAATCATACAGAGCACACAAGCCTGGAAAGGAAAATGGAAGCAATTTTAGAGTAATGGGATTATAAATAAAGTTCTTCTTTTAAAATAATGTCCTTCATGACGTTATATTACTATTTGAAAAACAAAAGTTATTGTGGGTTCTTTACTGCCTCCCTGTTGTAGAATTAGACATCCACACTCTTTGCCATAGGACTTGGCGACAGCTTCCAATAGAGCAGGCAGAGTATAGCCCACCCCTCCCCCCACAACGGATGTTGGACTTGGCCATGTGACTTACTTAGCCAATGGAATAGTAGCTGAGATGACGCAAACAGGAACTTCAAATGTGTGTGCCTGGTTTGACTTGGTCTCTCGAACATTCCACAGTCAGCCATGACAAGAGCGTGCCCCAGGTAGCCGTTGTTCTTTCCTAGTTCCTCTAAAAAAACAAAACTGCAGAGTAGATCTGAATGGAGCCCTGAGCCTGGAGTCCAGCCCAACTCAGCCCGCCCAGCTGAGGCCAGACCAAGGCTGACCTGCAGGCCTATTGGAAAGAAAAATCTGATTTGTTGTCCTCAGCCACCGAGATTTCTGAGGCGATCTGTAACGCAGCAAAAACTGCCTGATCCAAAAGTAAAGTGGATCTTGTTTTGGTTTTGGTTTTATCAAGTTAAAAATCAACTCTTTGTTTTTCCTTCGCGGATCATCAACAAGAAAAGTAATAATGTGCGGCTGACCTTCTCCTACCCCAGCACATTTCTGGGGCATCTCCCAGCATGCTGGTTGTGTAACGCAGAAAGCTCCCAGCCTCATTCTTGCATTGGCCTGACAGGAAAGCAAATTAGGACTATTACACTCCCGCGCTCCCTCCCCCGCCGAAGTCACCGCGAAGCCCAGGGCAAAACCAGGAAACCGGGGGCCTCTTTGTCATTAGCCCAGTGGTGCCACTGCTTCTCCCGCCAGAGGCTGGGAACTGTTTTCAGCAAGGGTGCCCAGGCTTGGGGATTCTGCCCCCACACAGTGTTAGCCAGTTTTTTTCTGGCGAGAGTTCATGGTGTCTGACTCCTTTTATAAAAGGAATGTTCCCAGGAGGAAGCCAGCAGGGACATCGCAATCACGTCCAGTGGCCTGGATTACTCAGACCTGGTTTTGCTCTAGCCGAGGTCACGGAGGAGCCTCTTTGCTCTGGGGGTTTCTTCCCTTCCCCGCGCCTTCCCCGCGCGCGCACATTTTCCCAAGGCCCCTTCCCGAAGGCCCCGGGTCCCCCGGCCCGCAGCTCCGACCCGCGGCGCCATTGCGGACACTCTCCTCAAGGTGGCAGTAGAGAGCCGCTCCTTGCCCAGCACGCTGACGTCACCTTGTTTACCCGGCTCCGGGTCATTTTTAGATCTAAGATCACAGGATGTTAATTGGGCCAATGATTTCCCATTCGTTTTAGTCCGGACAAGTGTGATGTCCTTTTTGACAAATAAATTTTTTTGCTGCGGGGAGTATTTATTTGCAAACAACTTGGAATTTCATCTTTAGGAGATGGGAAAGCTGTGCGTTGCTCCGTGTTATGGGGGCTTTTTTGGGTCACGTGAGCTTTGGAGCCCGAAAGAGAGTGTGGTTAATTGGGGACAGAAGGAAGACTAGATAGGATGGCGGGGTCTGGGAGATATCGCCAGAGCCAGCTGAGAGCCTGCAGAGGGAGTTTGCCCTTTATTCCCCTTCCCCTTATAAAGTAACTACTGTATGCAGCAGGAAAGGATTTGGACTTTGGAACTTGGAGGGATAAGGAAAAGCAGCTGATTGGGTCTAGCTGCGTCCTGATTCATTGTGGGGAGACACCTTGAAGCGTAGGGGCTAGGAGGCCTGTACCTCAGATGCCCTCACCCAGGAATTGGATCTGAACGTCTCTGAGCCATAAATCACGTGGCTTTACGCACTGGAACTTTTCATCCCCAAAGTAACAAGCACCCTCACTATTCCTTATATGTTCCTTCCCTGCTCCCCAGCTGCTGAGGAGGAAAGGCACGGAGAAGCTAAACGGCCTAGCTCACTCTCTCCTCTCCAGGCCCTGCCTAGTTGCAAAAGAAACAACATCAAAAGCACTTGGCTTTCTGCATTTCCAGTGCCAGCTTTGGCGGGTGGGGGATGGAAGGAGCTGGGAGTTTGTCTAAAACTGTTCAAGAAGCAAAAAAAAGCAAACAAAATTCTTCAGCTGTGCAATCTTTTACAAGAAGAGGGTAGGAGCATCTTATGCTAAAGAGAAGAAAATCTATAGCTTAATGTTAAAAATAAATGAACCTCAAAAGTTTTTTAAGTGCTTGTTCTTTGCTGTCAACCTCCCATCTCATCCTTTTACATGCTGCTGCTGCTGCTGCTGCTGCTGCCATATAAAAACCAGCTCCCAGAGAGGGCAAAATCCCTCTCCCTCAAGTAGTTTGCAATCCGCTGGAGGGGGCCTGCTAGGCTGAAGAGATAGATGGTTTTCATGCAGTCAAGAAGAGAAGAAAAATGCCATTCAGTTCAATTCAACGACCCATTCTTGAGCTCCTATTCTGTGTCCACTTCTCAGACAAGCAATATAGCTTATAAAAATATGAAAAGACACGATTCCTGCCACTGTAGAACTAGTCTAGTTGTACTTACAGGCACGGGGAGTTTCTTTTGTTCCTTTAGCAAAGCATGGAATGAAAGAAGGGTTAAGAGAAAGGTTACAATAGAAAGGGAGAATGCCAGGTCAATGGTTTGGAAAAGCATTCTGCCACTTTGTTCTGGCATCTACTTAACAGTGGCTTTGGGGCCCAGAAACAATGGCAGAGCTGCTTGGTAGAGAACAGGAAGCCCACACTACAGGCACGCGGGACCTCTACGGAGGCTGAGAGAGGCTGAAAGAGGAGAGAGGAAGCCACTTACTCAGGTCAAACTGTACATTGAAGAGCAGGAATTAGGACCCAGTCAGCAAGAACCACAGAACCCTACAAGGAGAGTTCAGGGGAATGGAGCATTCCCTGTAACTATCCCATGCATACATTCAGGAAAAGTATTTAGAAGCAGCTTGAGTTTCTTGCATCTGCAAATAGAAAGAAATAAGTGTCCCCAGGTCCACTAATCACCAATAAAATCACCTTCCAAAGGCCTCTTGTTGAGAACCTGGTGATAATTCAGATCCATCCTAACCACCAAGGAAGAGCAAATGGAGAGAAAGCAAACAATAAAAATTTTCTATTTTTCATGGTCATATGAAATTTTAAAAATATTTTTTAAAAACTTCAAAAGTGTTAAATATAAAAAAATAGACAGTAAAATAAAAAACATTTACAACTTTAACAAAGTGTAATGTAAACATTCTAGTAACCTTGCAACCATCCACGAAAGGAGATAGAATTATGTCAAACAACCCCAGAAAGAACTTTTTAAACCATAGTCATGGCTGCAGGCTCCAAGACTGAGTGGATCACTTACAGGACGTTAGGAGGCCTCCTAGGTGGGAAAACCCTTCAACCATCGGTCAAACAGTATTTATCAAGTGCTTATAATAAATAGCATTATGCAAAGTGTAGGACACTATCCTACACATTTACATGAAAGAGGTAAGGAAAAAAGAAAAAGAAGAGAGGAAGGGAAGTAAGGAGGGAAGGAAGAGAGGAAAGGATCTAGCATTTACTGAGCACTTACTATATACTAAATGCTTTACCTGTATTATATCTAAATGGAATAAATGAAACATCTACCCTCTCTACAACTCTGAAGTTGGTATTGTTATCTTCACTTTACAGATGAGGATACTGATGCGTAGAGAACTTAAGTAACTTGCCCAGAGTCACATGGCAAGTAAGAGGCAGAGTTGGTACTGGAACCTAGGCAGCCTGGCTTCAGAGCCCTGGCCTTCCCCACCACCCTTGGAAGTTGGTTAGTATGCTAGATACTGTTTGCCTTTCTAGATGCACTCTTGATCCTTCTCCACCCTGCTCTATGCCACAAACTATATCAATGGGCTCAGTTACCCTTTGGCTTCTAGTTGGGTTTAGCCAGTGGGGTCCTAGGCAGGATCTCAGAGCGAGGGAGACCTGGGGATCACCTCTGGGCTGGCTGCATCCTTTGACTCATGGTCACAGCTCTTGTCAGGTGGCCTTAAATATTCAGGACATACTCTACAGGTTCTGGTGGCCATACCTCCCCTCACCCCCTCAAGCCTAGGGTGGTCAAGTAGCTGTTACTTATTGCACTACCCCTGTGGTTTCCCTATATCCTGCCCACATCTTTGTAAATAGCCCCCTTATTCAACTGTCCTCAAATTACCCAATTTGAGTGTGCCATCTGTTTCCTGCCCAGGTCTGGCCTGATATAAATAGGAAGTCAGAGAAGGAGCAGCTCAGAGGCCTCCCTCCCTAGTGGGCAGCATTTCTCATGCATACAGGCTCAGTCACAGGTGAATCAAGATGACCTCTCATTTGAAAGGGTCAAGATGTCCCCTTGGTGTGTGAGTGTGTGTGTGATCTTCCTCTTTGACTTCCATGGAGCTCATGGACCCAGGAGGCCTGGATCTCCTCCCACTGTTCCAGGTTTCTGAGTGTGTCATGCCAGTGAGCTCTTGGGGTATGTGATGTGCAGAGATTAGCTCACTTATCAGTTCTTTGGTTCTTCATAGTGTTGCAGGAAATGTGAAGAAATCTCCATCTTGGGGTGACCATTAGATGCATGAGGCTGATAGGAGGTGGAGAAGGGAGGGGTAGGGATCCAAGGGGGGCCCCTGGAGGTGGTGCCGGCACAGTCTCTAGTCTGTCTCACCCAGACTACAGCAACCCTGGCAACTCATGCCAGTCAGATGCCGACAGTCATCTCCAGGTTGTTATGGTCAACTGCCATAGTTGTTTCACAAGAGAAGAAAATGGAAGCAGGGAGAGTATGGTATTTGTTAATTTCTTTGGTCAAGGTCACACAAGGAGAGGTGGTGCCTTGATAGGCACTGAAGAAACTGCCACCCTTTCCCACTCATGTCCCACAAAGTCTCCGGAAAATAATACTCAATCTATAACACCTGGCCGGGTGCAGTGGCTCATGCCTGTAATCCTAGCACTCTGGGAGGCCGAGGCAGGCTTTTCGCTCAAGGTCAGGAGTTCAAAACCAGCCTGAGCAAGAGCGAGACCCCATCTCTACTACAAATAGAAAGAAATTAATTGGCCAACTAAAAATATATAGAAACAATTAGCAGGGCATGGTGGCACATGCCTGTAGTCCCAGCTTCTTGGGAGGCTGAGGCAGGAGGATTGCTTGAGCCCAGGAGTTTGAGGTTGCTGTGAGCTAAGCTGACGCCACAGCACTACAGCTGGGGCAACAAAGTGAGACTCTGTCTCAAAAAAAAAAAGTCTATAACACTTTCCAAGACTTTCCAGAATCAGTCCTCTCTTGAGCAAACCAGGCTTAGAATGGGGTCAGAGCTCAGTCTCAAGAGCACAGCACCATTATTCTCTGTCTTTACTGGGTGTCATGTTTTTGTGTCTGGTGGGGAAGTGTCTGGGGAGGGAGTGGGGAAGGGAGTGGCAAACACAGGAAACAGAGCTCATTTGGATCTTGTCTGCAGAGACTGTCTTACGAATATAAGAGATGGGATTTCCTTCAGTGAGAATGCTTGGGAGAAGCCAGTGTTGGTCTTTAGCTTTTACAAATTCCAAATACCGTGGCAAGGTTTGCGGGACCAGTCTGGAGCCCCAATGTCAAATGTCTGGGGGTGTTTCTCATGCTTCCTCCTTGTTTAGAAGTGGCATCCAGGACCTCTGGTCATGGCGTGAGGACAATGGTTTCATTACCCACCCAGGCAGTTTCAGTAGATGGGTTTCTGTTCCTTTATTCCTTCTATCCCATACCATCAAACCAACTGGTCTTCCTGGGCATGCTTGTCCTCATCTCTTCCCCTGTTTCTTTGGAAAGCTAACAAGAGGCAGAAGGTAGAGAAAAACACGGAGTCAGACTAGATCTGGGTTTGAATCTATGTTGCACTACATAATGACTGGGTGATTTATGTAAACTTACTTATGCTCTCAGAGCCTCAGTTTCCTCATCTGTAAAGTGCAAATAATAAAAGTCATCTCATGGAGCCAGGCACAGTAGTGTGCGCCTGAAGTCCCAATTGCTCAGGAGGCTGAGGTGGGAGAATCGCTTAAGACCAGGAGTTCTAGGCTGTAGCATGCTATGATTGTACCTGTGAACAGACACTGCAACAGCCTGGGCAACATAGTGAGACCCTATCTCTAAAAAAATTAGCTTCGTGGAGTTATTGTGAGGGTTAAAATCAATGTTTATAAGGTCCTGGTGCATGGTTGGTGTTCAGTAAGCAGTAATTATTGTAATAAAGTTCCCACTAGGCTGGCCTTTCACTCAAATCCCTCTTACACAAAAATGATTTGGTTAGGCCAGGAGCAGTGGCACATGCCTATAATCCTAGCACTCTGGGAGGCTGAGGCGGGCAGATCATTTGAGCTCAGAAGTTCGAGACCAGGCTGAGCAAGAGCAAGACCCCGTCTCTACTAAAAATAAAAAAAATTAGCCGGGCATGGTGGCGCATGCCTGTAGTCCTAGCTACTTGGGAGCCTGAGGCAGAAGGATTGCTTAAGCCCAGGAGTTTGAGGTTGATGTGAGCTAGGCTGACGCCACAGCACTCTAGCCAGGGCAACAGAGTGAGACTCTGTCTCAAAATTAAAAAATGATTTGATTAATCACTTTTATCAATTAGGACGCTTTCAGCTGCAAAAACAGAAAATCCAACTGAGAATGGCTTAACAATAAGGAACACGTGCTATTTATTTAGTAAGAAATCCAGAGGTAGCTTCAGGGTTGGCTGATCCACAGCTTAACAATATTGTGGAGGCCACACATTCTTCCATCTGTCCTGTCTGCTTTGTCCCCAGGGAGGCATGATTTCAAGATGGTGGGCATGGTTCTAGGAGTCACGTGGAAACACAACACCATCCAATAGCAGAAGAGGGGTGTCTCTTCCTATGTCTACCTTTTTAAGCAAGGACATCCTCCTGGGAATCCCTCCAGCAAACTTCCCATCTCATCTCATTAACCAGAATTATCTCATGTGCTTCTGTTTGACCAACAGAAATAGGATGACTGCAGCGGGTCGTTTCAATCAGGTTTTATTGATGAGGCAGGGAGAATGATTATTGTATAGGGAACTGTGGTTGGTTGGAGTGTGTCCCTCGGAATTCACGTGCTAGAAACTTGGTCCCTAGTGGCACAGTATTGGGAGGTGGGCCTTTAAGAGGTGATTAGATCATTAAGAGGGATTGATGCCACTCTCACAGGACTGAGCAAAATCTTGAGAGAGTGAGTGAGTTACTGCTTTCCTGGGACTGGATTGGTTATCATGAGAGTGGGTTGTTATAAAGTGATGCTGTCCATTGCGTTTTTCTCCTTTTGCACATGCCTGCTTCCTCTTCTGCTTCTCTGTCATCTTATGACACAGCATAAGACCATCGCCAGAAGCTGACCATATGTAGCTGCCTGATCTTGGACTTTCTACCCTCCAGAATCATGAGCCATAAACCTCTTTTCTTTATAAATTACCTGGTGGTATTCTGTTATAGCAACAGAAAATGAACTAAAACAATAATCAACCAATGATCTGCTCTACTGTTTGTTTAGCCACATCCAAAAAACATTTATTGAACACCTATTATGTGCTCAGGCTTTGGAGGCACTGATATAGCTTAATGTCAACCACTTCAAATTTAGAACCTAAATGCTAGATCTTGACTCACAGAGAGGAGGTTCCCAGGAAATGTTCTCTGAAGCAAAGAGCTAAAGGGCAAGGCCGAGGTGCCTGGGCCAGGTTCATAAGCATTTATGGCCGGGAAGCTGCAGTCTTGGAAGCCGGGCTTGCCAAGGAGGTGAGGAGCTCCCCGTGTTCAAGCTGGCACTCAGCTCCCAATTATGATTCCAGAATTATTAGCTTTGATTCTGTGAGAAAGGAACACATCAAAGCCAGAATCCTATGAATTAAAACGTTGACTAATCGAGCTAATTATAGTTCAGTCATCTGAATTTTCACACAATGAGTTGAGTTCTCATGAAAGCCTTCTCTTGGGCAGGAGGCTTTGATGATGAAGCAGCTATTTATGTCCCAGCCTCAGTCCTCCTCACTCTGGCCAGGGGATCCTCACTGGAGTGCCTTTTGTCTGCTCCAAACCCTATGTGTTCAGCTCCAGGTTTCTTAAAAGCTAAAGCAAGCTCAGTGGAGGCAGATATTACCAAGATGTTGGGAGTAAGATTCCCCTCCCTGGAGAAATATCTAACCAGTGTGTCAGGATGTCATGATGGAATTCTTCTCATTTTCAATTTTATTTCAGATTTTAAAATACCTAGGCAATTTACATAGCCTAATTATACTTTAGGGAGAACCTTCTCACTTAACATGTCTCACTTATCAGATGCAGAGTGGTATAATACATTTTAATCACTGTTTAGATGTTCTTTGCTGCAGAATTAATAATATAGACTAAGCCTAAATCTTTGATGAGCTAGAATAGGTGAACTCCAGATATAAGGCAGCTCTTTCAGGAGAGAATTCACCAGGAAAAATGATGTGTTAAAGAGTGGTTCTCAACTGGAGGAAAGTTTGCTTCTCCTCCACCCCTCCTAGGCACATTTGTTGATGTCCAAAGACATTTTTGGTTGTCACAGCTGTGGGAAGGGAGGGGGTACTACTGATATCTAGCGTATAAAGGACAGGGATGCTGCTAAACATCCTGCAATGTACTGTGTGTGTGTAGACCCCCAGAACAAAGAATTATCTCATCCAAAATGTTGATAATGTCAAGATTGAGAAATCCTGTGTTAAAGGGTGAAGGTTTTCCACTTAACACTAGTCATATGTTCAAGGTGACAGATTACTTAAATGATGTTAA